CCCCAGTCTGCTGCAGAGCCTTCAGCCTTTCATAGTGCCCCCCCCCCCCAGTCTGTTGCAGAGCCTTCAGCCTTTCATAGTGCCACCTACCCTCCAATCCAGTCCCTCAGCCTCCCACAGTGCCCCCCCCCCCCCAGTCTGTTGCAGAGCCTTCAGCCTCTCATAGTGCCCCCTACCCTCCAATCCAGTCCCTCAGCCTCCCACAGTGCCCCCCAGTCTACTGCAGAGCCTTCAGCCTTTCATAGTGCCACCTACCCTCCAATCCAGTCCCCCTCAGCCCCCCACAGTGCCCCCCAGTCTACTGCAGAGCCTTCAGCCTTTCATAGTGCCCCCTACCCTCCAATCCAGTCCCTCAGCCTCCCACAGTGCCCCCCAGTCTGCTGCAGAGCCTTCAGCCTTTCATAGTACCCCCTACCCTCCAAATGAGTCCCCACAGTATGCCGATTCTTCCACAGTGCCCCCCCCCCCCAGGCTCCTACAGAAAGTCCGTTCCCTATAGGGTCACCAGATCTGTTGCAGAGTCCATTAATCCACTGCACAACCCCCATCCAGCCCCAACCCAGAGCCTACCAGCATTTCAATGAATATTCTGTATTCCCATACTTTAAATATGTGAGTATAAAAAACATTTTCTTTACTGTTGGGACATGAAGGGTTTTGGAAGAATGAAAGGTTTTGCAGCAGCTCCTCACCCCTAGACCCATCCTGACTGCAACAGCCCCTCACCCCTAGACCCATCCTGACTGCAACAGCCCCTCACCCCTAGACCCATCCTGACTGCAACAGCCCCTCACCCCTAGACCCATCCTGACTGCTACAGTTCCTCACCCCTAGACCCATCCTGACTGCAGCAGCTCCTCACCCCTAGACCCATCCTGACTGCAGCAGCTCCTCACCCCTAAACCCATCCTGACTACAACAGCTCCTCACCCCTAGACCCATCCTGACTGCAACAGCTTATCACCCCTAGACCCATCCTGACTGCAACAGATTCTCACCCCCTAGACCCATCCTGACTGCAACAGATTCTCACCCCCTAGACCCATCCTGACTGCAACAGATTCTCACCCCCTAGACCCATCCTGACTGCAACAGATTCTCACCCCCAGACCCATCCTGACTGCTACAGTTCCTCACCCCTAGACCCATCCTGACTGCTACAGTTCCTCACCCCTAGACCCATCCTGACTGCAACAGTTCCTGACCTCTAGACCCATCCTGACTGCAACCGCTCCTGACCTCTAGACCCATCCTGACTGCAACAGTTCCTCACCCCCTAGACCCATCCTGACTGCAACAGCTCCTCACCTCTAGACCCATCCTGACTGTAACAGTTCCTCACCCCTAGACCCATCCTGACTGCAACAGCTCCTCACCCCTAGACCCATCCTGACTGCAACAGCTCCTTACCTCTAGACCCATCCTGACTGCAACAGCTCCTCACCCCTAGACCCATCCTGACTGCAACAGCCCCTCACCCCTAGACCCATCCTGACTGCAACAGCCCCTCACCCCTAGACCCATCCTGACTGCAAAAGCTCTTCACCCCTAGACCCATCCTGACTGCAACAGTTCCTCACCCCTAGACCCATCCTGACTGCAACAGTTCCTCACCCCTAGACCCATCCTGACTGCAACAGTTCCCCACCCCTAGACCCATCCTGACTGCTACAGTTCCTCACCCCTAGACCCATCCTGACTGCAATATCCTCCTCACCCCTAGACCCATCCTGACTGCAACGTCCTCCTCACCCCTAGACCCATCCTGACTGCAACAGTTCCTCACCCCTAGACCCATCCTGACTGCAACAGTTCCTCACCCCTAGACCCATCCTGACTGCAACAGTTCCTCACCCCTAGACCCATCCTGACTGCAACAGTTCCTCACCCCTAGACCCATCCTGACTGCAACAGCCCCTCACCCCTAGACCCATCCTGACTGCAACAGTTCCTCACCCCTAGACCCATCCTGACTGCAACAGTTCCTCACCCCTAGACCCATCCTGACTGCTACAGCCCCTCACCCCTAGACCCATCCTGACTGCAACAGTTCCTCACCCCTAGACCCATCCTGACTGCAACAGTACCTCACCCCTAGACCCATCCTGACTGCAACAGTTCCTCACCCCTAGACCCATCCTGACTGCAACAGTTCCTCACCCCTAGACCCATCCTGACTGCTACAGTTCCTCACCCCTAGACCCATCCTGACTGCAACAGTTCCTCACCCCTAGACCCATCCTGACTGCAACAGTTCCTCACCCCTAGACCCCCTCCTGACTGCTACAGTTCCTCACCCCTAGACCCATCCTGACTGCTACAGTTCCTCACCCCTAGACCCATCCTGACTGCTACAGTTCCTCACCCCTAGACCCATCCTGACTGCAACAGTTCCTCACCCCTAGACCCATCCTGACTGCAACAGCTCCTCACCCCTAGACCCATCCTGACTGCAACAGCCCCTCACCCCTAGACCCATCCTGACTGCAACAGCCCCTCACCCCTAGACCCATCCTGACTGCAACAGCCCCTCACCCCTAGACCCATCCTGACTGCAACAGCCCCTCACCCCTAGACCCATCCTGACTGCAACAGTTCCTCACCCCTAGACCCATCCTGACTGCAACAGTTCCTCACCCCTAGACCCATCCTGACTGCAACAGTTCCTGACCCCTAGACCCATCCTGACTGCAACAGTTCCTCACCCCTAGACCCATCCTGACTGCAACCGCTCCTCACTCCTAGACCCATCCTGACTGCAACAGCTCCTCAACTCTAGACCCATCCTGACTGCAACAGCTCCTCACCTCTAGACCCATCCTGACTGCAACAGCTCCTCACCCCTAGACCCATCCTGACTGCAACAGCCCCTCACCCCTAGACCCATCCTGACTGCAACAGCTCCTCACCACTAGACCCATCCTGACTGCAACAGCCGCTCACCCCTAGACCCATCCTGACTGCAACAGCTGCTCACCCCTAGACCCATCCTGACTGCAACAGCTGCTCACCCCTAGAACCATCCTGACTGCAACAGCTCCTCACCCCTAGACCCATCCTGACTGCTACAGCTCCTCACCCCTAGACCCATCCTGACTGCAACAGCCCCTCACCCCTAGACCCATCCTGACTGCAACAGATTCTCACCCCCTAGACCCATCCTGACTGCAACAGATTCTCACCCCCTAGATTGGCCGTTTACATTACAGCTGCACAGCGTTGTCGGCCTGGACATAGAACTTGTGTCAGCATCAGGGAAACAGCTGCAGGATCACCAGGACATTCCCTCATAATAACTCCAGGCTGCTTAATGGACCAAAAAAAAAGATGCTTTGAGGTGCCGATCAGAATTACTCTCAGTGATCATTTACTACTCCTGGAAATTGATTGTTAGTGATGTTGATGACTTCATTTATTATTAATATCTCTTCTGCACAGAGCTGTGCTGGGATTGGTTGCTCCCTGAGGCGGCCCATTTTTGATGCCTCCCTGACACTGGACCACACGATGCCGGCCTCCAGGCCACAAAAATTAATTGGTTGCTAGGACACAGGTCACACAGTGTCATTGGTTGCTAGGGCACAGGTCACACAATCTCATTGGTTGTTAGGATGCAGGTGGCTGGGTCATATAGTGTCGGGTCAGTGTAATTGGTCGCTAGGATGCAGGTCACACAGTGTCAAGGGTTTCTAGGATACAAGTCTCAGAGTGTCATTGGTTTCTAGGACGCAGGTCACACAGTGTCCTTGATTGCCAGGACACAGGTCAGTGTAATTAGTTGCTAGGATGCAGGTCACACAGTGTCAAGGGTTGCTAGGATGTAGGTGGCTAGGTCACACAGTGACATTGGTTTCTAGGACGTAGGTCACACAGTGTGATTGGTTGCTAGGACACAGGTCCCACAGTATCATTGGTTGCTAGGATGTAGGTGGCCAGTTCACATGGTGTTAATGGTTGTTAGGCCAGAGGTCACTGGTTGCTAGGACACAGGTCACACAGTGTCATTGGTTTCTAGGACGCAGGTCACACAGTGTCAGTGGTTGCTAGGGTACAGGTCACACAATGTCATTGATTGTTAGGATGCAGGTGGCTGGGCCATATAGTGTTGGGTCACTGTAACTGGTAGCTAGGATACAGGTCTCAGAGTGTCATTGGTTGCTAGGACACAGGTCGCACAGTGTGATTGGTTGCAAGGGCAAAGGTCACACAGTGCCATTGGTTGCTAGGATGTAAGTGGCCAGGTCACACGGTGTTACTGTTTGTTAGGCCAGAGGTCACTGGTTTCTAGGATGCAGGTCACAGAGTGTCATTGGTTGCCAATACACAGGTCAATGTAATTGGTTTCTAGGACGTAGGTCACATAGGGGTTTATTTACTAAAGCTGGAGAGTCCAAAATCAGACTCCCTTCTGCATAGAAACCAATCAGCTTCTAACCTCAGCTTGTTCAATGAAGCTTTGGCAATGAAACCTGGAAGCTGATTGGTTTCTATGCAGAAGGGAGTCTGATTTTGCACTCTCCAGCTTTAGTAAATAAACCCCATAGTGACATTGGTTGTTAGGATGTAGGTGGCCATGTCACATGGTGTTACTTGTTAGGCCAGATGTTACTGGTTGCTAAGACACAGGTCACACAGTGTCAGGGGTTGCTGGGATACAGGTCACACAATGTTATTGGTTGCTAGGATGGAAGAGTCTGCACCATAACAACAAATGGCCCTCTGGAAAAGGCCGAGCCGCGGGACGACAACCCTCCAAATACTATGTGTGATCGTTTATTCACATGAACACCTCTGTATTGTACACGGAAGGGCAGGTGCCCACATCCAAAATGGCGGCGACACTCCCATACCGGCATCGTCCTATTCACAAGAGGACAGAACCAAGATTCCGCCCACAATGCGATCACCTGACTTCACGATTGACGTCACCTATAAGTACGTGAGGCCGGCGGCTGGCCGTGCCTGAGGGAGTGGGCGTGTCCTGGAAGTGGAGGAGCAAGATGGCGGCGACGGGCAGAGTGTGGGGGAGGGTCGGGGCTGTGTCAGGGGCCCTGGCTGTCAGCTTGGGAGCCTATGGAGCCCATGGTGAGAGAAAAGGGGGGATGGGAGAGTCCTGAGCTCGGCTGGGACCCCATTATATATAAACGGGGGGGGGGAGGGGAGGGTAATAGACTGGTGCTCTGTGAACATGGGAGGTCCCTTTAAACAAAATGGCCGCCTTAAAGTGGCAGCACCCTGGAAACCCCCTGCACATGCTCAAACTACCTACATGGCCTATGGGAACCCCCAAGCATGTGCTGTCATATTGCAAGACTTTGCTGGGTCCATGGAATACCCTCACACCATTGTTCAGACACATCTATCCCCCCCGTGCCTAGGCTCTCCTATCCTCCCTGTGCCTAGGCTCACTTTCCCGTGCCAAGGCTCTCCTATCCTCCCCGTGCCTAGGCTCTCCTCTCCTCCCCGTGCCTAGGCTCTCCTCCCCATGCCTAAGCTCTCCTTCCTGTGCCTAGGCTCTCCTATGCTCCCCATGCCTAGGCTCTCCTATCCCCTAAATGTCCTCCCTCCTGCACAGCCCGGCGGGCCCCTAAATGTCCTCCCTCCTGCACAGCCCGGCGGGCCCCTAAATGTCCTCCCTCCTGCACAGCCCGGCGGGCCCCTTGTGGTGTTCCATCCCCTGAATTGTGTGTCATTCTCTCTTGCAGGGTTCAGACGCAGCGACCGGGATGAATACTTGAAAGAGGTGAGGTGACTCCATGGCGGGTTTCCTTCTGTCCGATGTGTCTTTGTTGTTCCCTGACCTCCGGAATCATGGCGGAATGTGAGGATCGGGTCAGAGCCTTGCCAAAGCTTTATTGTTCTCACATTGTATTTGGCGCCACTCCAGCCCCTCCTCCGATTCCTGTACTCCCGTCATACATCCGCAGAGATCGGCATGCCAGCGCAGTGATTGCTGGGACATGTAGTGCGCAGTGATTGCTGGGACATGTAGTGCGAAGTGATTGCTGGGACATGTAGTGCGCAGTGATTGCTGGGACATGTAGTGCGCAGTGATTGCTGGGACATGTAGTGCGAAGTGATTGCTGGGACATGTAGTGCGCAGTGATTGCTGGGACATATAGTGCGCAGTGATTGCTGGGACATGTAGTGCGAAGTGATTGCTGGGACATGTAGTGCGCAGTGATTGCTGGGACGTGTGGCGCGCAGTGATTGCTGGGACGTGTGGCGCAGTGCAGTGATTGCTGGGACGTGTGGCGCAGTGCAGTGATTGCTGGGACGTGTGGCGCAGTGCAGTGATTGCTGGGACGTGTGGCGCAGTGCAGTGATTGCTGGGACGTGTGGCGCAGTGCAGTGATTGCTGGGACGTGTGGCGCAGTGCAGTGATTGCTGGGACGTGTGGCGCAGTGCAGTGATTGCTGGGACGTGTGGCGCAGTGCAGTGATTGCTGGGACGTGTGGCGCAGTGCAGTGATTGCTGGGACGTGTGGCGCAGTGCAGTGATTGCTGGGACGTGTGGTGCAGCAGGAGTTGGCTCTGTCGCTGATCGTCCCCATAATACATCGCTGCCTTTGCACCCTGGGTATGGTAGTTTTGGGGGTTTTTTGATTGAGTCGTCCACCTCTTGACCTTTTGATCTCTCCGCCCCCCGAGGTCATCCTGGTAACTTGGCTGACCATTGATGAGGATTTCCTGATCACTCCCACTTCTGTCTCCTTCCAGCTGTTTGCAACCGGGAACCAGTACCACTTCCTGCACAGCCTGGCCTTATTGGCTGTGCCCCACTGCAGGCGCCCTCTGCTGGTAGGTCAACGACTACACTGTGCTTCACTGATTTATATGGATATTTTCACACAAAACCCCCCCCCCCCCCCCCTTCCCATGTACGTAAGTATTCCCAGCCCCCCCATGTACATAAGTATTCCCAGCCCCCCCAGCCCCATGTACATAAGTATTCCCAGCCCCCCCAGCCCCATGTACATAAGTATTCCCAGCCTTTGCTCCATACTTTGTTGAAGCCCTTTAGCCCCCATTCCAGCCTCGCATCGTTTTGAGTATGATGCTACAAGCCTGGACACCTATTTTTGGGCAATTTCTCCCATTCCTCTTTGCAGGACCTCTCAAGGTCCATCAGGTTGGATGGGGAGCGTCGGTGCACAGCCATTTTCAGATCTCCAGAGATGTTCAATCGGGTTCAAGTCTGGGCTCTTGCTGGGCCACTCCAGGACAACAGAGTTGGCCCATAGCCACTCCTTTGTTATGTGGGCTGTGTGCTGAGGGTCATTGTCCTGTTGAAAGATGAACCGTCGCCCCAGTCTGAGGTCCAGAGCGCTCTGAAACAGGTTTTCATCAAGGATGTCTCTGTACATTGCTGCATTCATCTTTCCTACCATCCTGACTAGTCTTCCAGTTCCTGCCACTGAAAAACATCCCCACAGCATGATGCTGCCACCACCATGCTTCACTGTAGGGATGGTATTCACCAGGTGGTGAGCGGTGCCTGGTTTCCTCCAGACATGTCGCTTGGCATTCAGGCCAAAGAGTTCAATCTTTGTTTCATCAGACCAGAGAGTTTTGTGTCTCTGAGAGTCCCTCAGGTGCCTTTTGTTAAACTCCAGGCAGACTGCCATTTGCCTTTTACTGAGGAGTGGCTTCCGTCTGGCCACAGTACCATACAGGCCTGATTGTTGGAGTGCTGCAGAGATGGTTGTTCTTCTGGAAGGTTCTCCTTTTTCCACAGAGAAATGCTGGAGCTCTTTCAGAGTGACCATTGGGTGCTTGGTTACCTCCCGGGCTAAGGTCCTTCTCCCTCGATCGCTCATTTTGGCCGGCGGCCCGCTCTAGGAATATTCCTGGTAGTTCCAAACTTCTTCCATTTATGGATGATGGAGGCCACTGCTCATTGGGACCTTCAATGCTGCAGAAATGTTTCTGTACCCTTCCCCAGATCTGTGCCTTCATACAATCCTGTCTCGGAGGTCTACGGACAATTCCTTGGACTTCATGGCTTGGTTTGTGCTCTGACATGCACTGTTACCTGTGGGACCTTCTATAGACAGGTTTATGCCTTTCTGATCATGTCCAATCAACTGAACGTCCCACAGGTGGACTCCAATCCTCTGAATGTCCCACAGGTGGACTCCAATCCACTGAATGTCCCACAGGTGGACTCCAATCAACTGAATGTCCCACAGGTGGACTCCAATCCGCTGAACGTCGCACAGGTGGACTCCAATCCGCTGAACGTCGCACAGGTGGACTCCAATCCGCTGAACGTCGCACAGGTGGACTCCAATCCGCTGAACGTCGCACAGGTGGACTCCAATCAAGTTGTGGAAACATCTCAAGGATGATCGGTGGGAACAGGAGGCACCAGAGCTCAATTCTGAGTGTCATGGCAAAGGCTGGGAATACTTATGTACATGGGGGGGGGGGGGGGCTGGGAATACTTATGTACATGTGTTTTTTTATTTTTAATAAATTGCAAAGATTTCAAAACAAACTTCTTTCCCCTGTCATTATGGGGGATTGTTTGTAGAATGTGGAGGAAACAAATGAATCCATTCTGGAATAAGGCTGTAACATAACTAAATGTGGGAAAGGTTCAGCGCTGGGAATACTTTCTGGATGCTCTGTAGTGGACTGTCGTGTACCTCATGTATGTTTGGTGTCTGTGTACTGTATGCAGTGACTTGCTTTGTGTCTGTTTGCCCCCCCCAGGCGGGATCTCTGCTGACATCCGGGATTGTTCTGTTCTGTGGGACGTTCTATTACCATGCCTTGTCTGGGACTCCTCTCTTACCAGGGCGGCACCTCTGGGAGGCTCTCTTCTCATACTGGGCTGGGCTGCCATGGCCCTCTGACAACTCTGACCGATCCTTATCCCCGACCTCGTATGTAATATATTATCCCCCTACACGTTCCAATCACATGTCTGTATCCTGTATATGATGTCAAATCAATCAGATATTTTATAATAAATCTATTTTTGCCTGAACAGCCTGTGACACAGGATGGTATGTTTTACTTCATCAATATAGTGCCATCATATACCGCAGTGTTGTACAGAGAACACTGAGCCAGTCCCATCAGTCTCTGCACCAGAGGAGCTTACACTCTAATGCCCCCTCCCCCACAGTCACATCAGTCTCTGCACCAGAGGAGCTTACACTCTAATGCCCCCTCCCCCCCAGTCACACACATTATTATTATATGTTTATATAGCTCTGACATATACCGCAGCACTGTACAGAGATCACTGAGCTGTCCAAGGGTGTCAGGGACAAGATGGTAGACCTACACAAGGCTGGACTGGGCTACCAAACTATGGCCAAGCAGCTTGGTGAGAAGGTGACAACAGTTGGTGCAATCATTCACAAATGGAAGAAACACAAAACAAGTGTCAGTCTCCCTAGGTCTGGTGCACCATGCAAGATCTCACCTCGTGGAGTGTCAATGATCATGAGAACAGTGAGGAATCATCCCGGAACTACACGTGAGGATCTTGTCAATGATCTCCAGGCAGCTGGGACCACAGTCACCAAGAAAACAATTGGTAACACACTACGCCGACAAGGACTGAAATCCTGCAGTGCCCGCAAGGTCCCTCTGCTCAAGAAAGCACATGTCCAGGCCCGTCTGAAGTCTGCCACTGAACATCGGAATGATGCAGAGGAGGACTGGTGGGAAGTGTTGTGGTCAGAGGAGACCAAAATCCAGCTCTTTGGCATCAACTCAACTCGCCGTGTTTGGAGGAGGAGGAATGCTGCCTATGACCCCAAGAACACCATCCCAACTGTGAAACATGGTGGTGGAAACATTCTGCTTTGGGGGGGTGTTTTTCTGCTAAGGGGACAGGACAACTGCACCGCATCAAAGGGACGATGGACGGGGCAATGTACCATCAAATCTTGGGTGAGAACCTTCTTCCCTCAGCCAGGGCATTGAAAATGGGTGGTGGATGGGTGTTCCAGCATGACAATGACCCAAAACACACGGCCAAGGCAACAAAGGAGCGGCTCAAGAAGAAGCACATTAAGGTCCTGGAGTGGCCTAGCCAGTCTCCAGACCTTCATCCGATTGAAAATCTGTGGAGGGAGCTGAAAGTTCGAGTTGCCAAACGTCAGCCACCAAACCTTAATGACTTGGAGAGGATCTGCCAAGAGGAGTGGGCCAAAATCCCTCCTGAGATGTGTGTGAACCTGGGGGCCAACTCCAGGAAACGTCTGACCTCTGTGATGGCCAACAAGGGAATGGCCACCAAGTACTAAGTCATGTTTTGTGAAGGGGATCAAATCCTTCTTTCCCTCATGAACATGCAGATCAGTCATCATTTGTTAGACGCATTTCTGCTGAATTTGTTGTTGTATTCTGTCTCTCAGTGTTACACCGAACATTCCATTGTTAGACCGATCATTTCTGTGTGAGGGGCGAACATTCCATTGTTAGACCGATCATTTCTGTGTGAGGGGCGAACATTCAGCATCAGCCGGGGAGCCAATACACATTTCCTTCACTGTAGCTCTGACATATACTGCAGCGCTGTACAGAGAACACCGGTCCCATCAGTGTCTATACCAGAGGAGCTTATACTCTGTCTCCTCCCCCCCGTCACAAACTTATTATTCTACATTTATATAGCTCTGCAGCACTGTACAGAGATCACTGAGCCAGTCACATCCGTCTCTGTACCTGAGGAGCTTACACTCTAATGTCCCCTCCCCCGCAGTCACATCCGTCTCTGTACCTGAGGAGCTTACACTCTAATGTCCCCTCCCCCACAGTCACATCAGTCTCTGTACCTGAGGAGCTTACACTCTAATGTCCCCTCCCCCACAGTCACATCAGTCTCTGTACCAGAGGAGCTTACGCTCTAATGTCCCCTCCCCCACAGTCACATCAGTCTCTGCACCAGAGGAGCTTACGCTCTAATGTCCCCTCCCCCCACAGTCACACACTATTATTATTCAACATTTATATAGCTCTGACATATACCACAGCGCTGTACAGAGATCACTGAGTCAGTCCCATCAGTCTCTGTACAGCTTACACAATGGCCTGCATTGCCCCTCAACCTCCAACAGTGCCTTCAGGCCCCTTGAAAGCCCTCAGCCCCTCACTGCCCCCCAACTTTCCACAGTGCCCCCCCCCAGGTTCCTGCAGTGCCTCCTAGCTTGCTGCAGAGCATTCAGCCCCCAGCCTCCTTGAAAGATGCCCTCCCCAAACTGACCCCCCCCCCCCCCCCACAGTGACACCCAAGCTCGTCCAGCGCCTTCCAGTGCTCCAATGTGTGTTTTGTATTCCCGTACTTTCATTGTGTGAGAATATAGCGGGTCAGGTAGAAGAAAGACACGAGCCCATCTAGTTCCAGCAATATAAATGAATGAACACGCCCATCTGCAGAATCCTATGGGCGCAGGTGATCCAGAAGAAGGCACAGAAAACCCCAATAAAGCATGATTCAATCTACTCCAAAAAATCCATCCCCTCCTGATCCCCCAGCAGGCAGTTGGATCTTCCCTGGATCAACAATCTATGGTAAGGACTTCATTACTGTTGGAGACGAGAAGATTTGCCCTCGGCAAGGCTGAGTACTCCTGGCTATAAAGACCTGAAGACAGCACTGCGGTATGCAGCAGCCCAGAGAAGACTTGGCTTACAGTGCTGGGGTCCCGGGCTAAGATCAGAAGGCTTCACAAGCGTTCCCATAACAATTGGAGGCCGATAGGGGAGTTTCCATTCTGCAGCAACTCCCACCGGCACGTCCACCAGATGAAGTCCATTGAGCTTTACCTCTAGAAGAC